GCTGGGACCACAGGCGCCCGCCACAATGCCTGGCTATTTTTTGGTTGCAGCCATCTTTGTTGTTTGGTGGGCCTGGGTTGGATTTGAACCCGCCACCTTGGGTGTATGTGGCCGGCGCCTTAGCCACTTGAGCCACAGGCGCCGAGCCAGTGAATGCCACATCTTATCATTTATCTATTTTCCAAATTGGATCCACCAGACACTTACATCAGCAGAGATAAAAATGAATTCAGTTTCGGGCGGCACCTGTGGCTCAAAGGAGTAGGTACCAGCCCCATATACTGGAGGTGGCAGGTTCAAACCTGGCCCAAGTCAAAAACTGCAAAAAAAAAAAAAAAAAGAAAAAAGAATTCAGGTTTCTTTGAATGATCTAGATGTTGACATAACCAGCAATCAGACTGATTAGTTAGTATGGGCAGGGTTTGAAAGACTGGTGCAAAGGGGTGCTGGGTCTGAGCTTGACCTGCTGGAAAAATAGTAAGGGTTAGTAAGAGTAAGGTATATTTTGAAAGAAGAGCCATAGTAGGAGATAAAAAGAAGAGAGAATGGGATAGAGTGAGGCAATCTTCCCTCAGCTTCCAATCTTTCCTCAACTTCTGAGAGTGGAGGGGAATGCTTACAGGAAAAAGTGTTCAAGAATGACTATGGGGGGTTTTAAAGGCAAGGAATATAGATTTAAATGAGATTTCTTGATCCGTGATCTTGGGAACAGCTGTCTGCTTTGTGGAGTGTTCTGGAGATTGGCCCTGGAAATCCTTACTTTCAGGTCTGGGTAGGGGTTGTCTTCCAACTGTCTCAGGGTATTCTGGCGTGGCTCATGTGAATCCAGGAGGGCTTTTCTTTTACTTTTATGGCAGTGCAGGTGGCCAGCAGTACTTCATAAAGGTCTTCCCAGCCGGGTGACAGTGCGTGGTTTCTTCTAAAAACTTTGATATATACACAATCTTCTGGCTGAAAGGGATGGCAAGGCTTCTCAGTTGGCCAAGGCCATGCTCTTTTCACCTGTTGATGATATGCTCCAAGTACATTAGTTAGTGTCTGTACACAGCTGGTCATGTTATCAAATTGTTCACTCAGATCCTGATACTTTCCAGGCAGCCCAGGAGGTTTAGAGGTACCAGTAGATAAAGGGTGACCAGACACCATTTCAAAGGGTATTAATCCATGTCTTCTATTTAGGGTATTACAGATTTTTAAAAGGGCCAGAGGTAATGCTTTTGGCCATTTAAATACCATGTCTTGACATATTTTTGCCAAAGTTCTCTTTATGTCTAGGTTTTTGCATTCTACCTGTCCTGAGGATGGAGGATGATTTGGGGTATGAAATTTTAATGATGGGTGGTGCCTGTGGCTCAGTGAGTGGGGCACCAGCCCTGTATACTGAGGTTGGCAGATTTGAACCTGGCCCCAGCCAAACTGCAATGACAACCACAACAACAAAGGAAAGAAATTTTAAGGAGTACCTCAGAGCCTTTGCAAGTAGATGGTTTATTTCGGCTGTGAAATGTGTTCCTTGATCTGATTTGATCCATGGGGGTATACCAAAAGGAGGAATAATTTTAGTTACCAATGTTTTACTACTGTTGTAGCATCTGCAGGTCTGGTTGGGTAACATTCAGTCCATCCACTAAACATACAGACAATAACTAAGCAATGAGAAATGCCTAAAGCTGGAGGTAAATCTATAAAATCAATGTGGAGTGCTGCGGGTCTTTGGGGGCTCCCTAAAGAGTATTTGTCTCCTCCCGAGATTTGGTGGGATTTATAAATAGTACACTAGGGAATAATTTGGTCAGGGATTTTCTAGATTCCAGGGCAGTACCAACTGTTTTTTAGTTCTTTAATTATCCTCTGTTCATACATATGTCCCATTTGGTGGGAGATAAGTGCAAGCCAAAAAGTTAAAAGAAAGGGAGCTACAGGGTGTTCTTTTGGTCCAATATATAATTCATTTGATAACTATTTAGCACAATTATGTATCCATTTATCTTTTTCAAATTGTGGAGTATTAATCTGGTGATTAATGATGTTAGATAAGGATAAGGGAAGGGTGATAAGTTGAGTGGAAAAAGGATGGGGGGTCCCTTTTTGGTGGCATGTTTTGCAGCTCTGTCTGCTCTGTCATTTCCTAAGATACAGTCTGTTTCTTTAGTATGGGCCTGGCAATGAACAATAGCAACCTCAGCGGGGAAGTGAATGGCTTGTAATAGGGAAGCAATTGGCGATAGGGGTGCCACCTGACGTTAAGAAACCAGGAGACTTCCAAATCCTGCTGAGTGCTTGACAGACTCCAAAGGTGTATTTGCAATCTGTCTAAATCGTGGCAGTTTTTCTTTCTGCCAAAGTGCATGCTCTAGTGAGAGCTATGAGTTCAGCAGCTTGTGCTGATTTTATAGTAGGTAGGGAGTATGCTTCCAGGGTTTCATGTGGGGAAACTGTAGTATAACTAGCTATTATACTACCTTTGAAATCACCTTTGCAAGAGCTGTCACAAAAGAGAATTAAGACTGGGTTGTCTAAAGGAATGTCTGAGAGATCTTCTCATGGTTTTGAAACCATATCATGGGCTCAGGGCCTGTGGCTCAAGTGGCTAAGGCGGCAGCCACATACACCTAAGGTGGCGGGTTCAAATCCAGCCCGGGCCCACCAAACAACAATAATGGCTGCCACCAAAAAATAGCCAGGCGTTGTGGCAGGCACCTGTGGTCCCAGCTACTTGGGAGGCGGAGGCAGGAGACTCGCTTGAGCCCAGGAGTTGGAGGTTGCTGTGAGCAGTGAAGCCATGGCACTCTACCCAGGGGGACAGCTTGAGGCTCTGTCTCAAAAAAAAAAAAAAAAAAAAAAAAAGAAACCATATCATGGCAATCATGTGAGATGGAGTGGGGGTCTTCATCGTCAGGGTGAGGTAGGAGTGCAGCTGGATTTAAGGTGTTACAACAGTGTAAGATAATGGAGGGCTTGGTTAGTAGAGCTTGTTCATAGGTGGTCTGTCATCTAGTATAGAGATGCTGTGTTTTGTGGATTTGTAGGAGAACAGACACAGCATGGGGAACATACAGATGAATAGAGGAACCTCATGTGAGGGTGCTGGCTTTGTCAATTAGGGTGGCAGCTGCTGCTACTGCATGTATGCATGGGGGCATGCCAGTGGCCATGGGATCTAATTGACCTGAAAAATACGCTATAGGATGGATTTGAGAGGAAAAAGGGTGACCTAAAATGCCAGCAGTAATTCCATTGTTTTCATGGTGTATTAAATTTGGGTAAACGTAAAGCAGGAGGTGTGGATAATGCTAATTAAGAGTTTTAAAAGAATCTAACGCCTCTGGGGGCCAGAGGGTAGGTTCTTGGATACTGTCAGGAAGGAGGGAATATAATGACTTAGTGAGGGCAGCAAAATTAGGGATCCACTGGCAGCAATAGCCAGCTGCTCCTAGAAATTTTCATAGTTGTTTTTTAGTTTTACGAAGGGGGACAGATAAAATTGACTGAAGGCGTTTTGGGGTGAGTTTTGAGTGCCTTGAGGTATTTCATGTCCTAAGGAAGTAACAATGGTCTGTACCCACTGGAGTTTAAACTTAGAGACTTTACGGCTTTTCTTAGCTTAGAGCTTTTAAAAGAATGAGAGTCTAAGAGAGCATCTTGTTTAGTTGATTACAGAGTAGAAGATCATCAGTGTATTGAACTAAAGTGGACCCATGCTTAAAGGTTATAGAATCTAGATCAGCCTTGAGAATTTGAGAAAATATTGAGGAGATTCACAGTATCCTTGGGGTATTCGGGTCCAAGTTAATTGTCTCCCTCTGAAGGTAAAAGTAAAGAGGAATTGTGAGTCAGAGTGTAAGGAAATTGAAAAGAAAGCTGAGCAGAGATCAATTACTGTAAACCAGGCTGTTTTAGCAGGAATAGAGGTAAGGATTATAGCTAGGTTAGGAATAACAGAGTGTCCAGGGATTACAAAGGAATTTATGGCCCTGAGATCTTGTACAAACTGATAGATCTGGTTTCCATCTGAATCAAATTTTCCTTCCATTTTTTTTTAACTAGGCAAATAACTTTATTAACCTTTCTTGCAAACTTTATTTCCAGGCTTCTTCAGCTTAATTAGCTGTAAAGAATGAATTATGTATAAGCAAAAACTGAAAAGAGCTGAAATGTCCAAGGGGCTTGGGCTTAAAAACATTAGGGATCTAGATTTTATTAGATCCACAAGCAAACACAATTTTAAAAAGCAGTCATAATATAAAATAGCAGCTCTGAGTCACTTCAAGTTTCATTTCAGAAGTTGACTCAATTCAGTTTGCCTCATTCTTGGAGCCTCATCAAAACTCTGCACAAGATCTAGAACTTCACCATCATCATCCTCTCCAGTAGCAAGTGGTGCTTTTCCATCCACAGATTGTTCAGGCAGAGCTTCAGCCTGCCTCCTCCAGCTAGTCAGACTGTCTGCACCAAGCTGGTTTAAGATGCTGGGTAGCATTTCTGTCAGCTGCTTGGTCTCAGCATGGCCTGTAATGGTGATAGTGTTTGCTGCCAGAGATGCCTGAACTTTAGGGTTGTTAAAGTGGATCACTGTTCCTTGGTTTGTAAACATATTCACCTCTTTGATACCAGAGATATTGTTTACCCCTATTTTCCTTAAGGAGAACTGAAGTTTTTTATCATCTGCTGCAGCTGTTCTATGAACCACCTTCTTCTTTCTGCGAGCAGTTCCTTTCCCACCACTGTGCACTTGTGCCTGCAGTTTGGCGAGTTTCTCTTGGTTCATGATAGTTTCTTTCATCTCGTCAAAGCATAAAGGGGGCCACGGGGGACTAGGGTTGGTGCTCAGGGGGTCTCAGGTAGACCTGCTGAGTTTAAGCACACATACACGGAGATGCAAGATCTTTCCTTCCTTTTTTACTGGTAGAATTGGGGTGTTACAGGGTGAGGTAGTGAAAATGAGAACTCCCTGCTGTAGAAGGGAGTATATAATAGGTTTAATTCCCAGTTTTGCATGTCCTGAAAGGAGTACTGAGCTACTGAAGGAAAAGGTTTATTTTTTTTTCCAAGAGATGCTTACAGGCTCTGCACTTAGTAGTAATCCAACTTCATTTACATGTTTTACCCAAAGGCTGTCTGGGACATCCTCTAGGATTGTATCATTATGGGGATTTAAATTAGAATGTGTTTGTATTAAGGAGAGTAAGAAGTTTGGAGTTTGTTCTGAGGATAGAGGAATAAAGATGAAAGTGTCCTTGGAGCCTCTGATCTGCAGACGGGATGATTGATTTGAAGGGAGGTCGAGACTCGCTCAGGTTAGCGACCAGGCCTGACTTTACCGATTATCTTATATACTTTCAAACATTCAGTAAGAATTTAACACAGATACAAAGAAGTGAAGTAACATTAGGAAGCTACCATTAAGATTACAATTCAGTGTGAAGGCTGAGGAACACATATACAATTGATTTTGTTTAGAGTAAAAACATAAAGGAGACTGACTGACTGTTCTTGCTGGCCCAAACCGAAACTAGAGATTATAATGTTAATGAAGGAAGAAGACAGAACAGAACCCAATGCTCGAGGACATGTTTTCCAGCTTCCAGCTGCACCCTGGCCTGATTCTCCAGGACCTCTTCTAAAGAGATCTTCTGCATATTTCTGCATATCTATAGGCAGGTGCAGAAGCTCAATCTTTGAAGAAATCTTTCTCAGAATCAATCTCCTGGGGAGCACATTGAAGTGAACTGCCATGTCTGAGCATGGGGTGCTTATCTCTACATAAAGACACCATTTTCATTACATTGCAAGGTAGCATTAAATTTACATAACAGATCTCTACTACAAAAGTTTGCTGGTGAAGAATCAGATATCCTAAAGGCATGGTGAGTATTTAGAGGACCTAGAGATACAGGAGTAGTTTGAGAGATAGGTAATGAAATAGGTAGTCCAGAGATTCCAATAGTTTGAGTAAAATTAGAGGTGAGAGGTAGACACAATTCTTCTGATCGAATGGTAGAAAATGTTGCACCACTGTCAATTAACAATTCCAGCTCCTGGCTCAGCGCCTGTGGCTCAGGTGGCTAGGGCGCCAGCCACATACACTAAAGGTGGTGGGTTCGAATCCAGCCTGGGCCTGCCAAACAACAATAATGGCTGCAACCAAAAAATAGCCAGGCGTTGTGGTGGGCACCTGTGGTCCCAGCTACTTGGGAGGCTGAGGCAGGAGACTCGCTTGAGCCCGGGAGTTGGAGGTTGCTGTGAGGTGTGATGCCACGGCACTCTACCCAAGGGGACAGCTTGAGGCTCTGTCTCAAAAAAAAAAAAAAAAAGGTGGGGTTGAAATAGTTTTACTATCTCCTAAGGGCTATTATTGAGGAATTTGGGTTGGATTTTGAGGTTGATTTTGACCAGGAACCCAGTGATCTAAAGGATCTTCTGGGGATTAGGAACAGGTAATTGAGGATAGAGAGGAGTATAAGTCAGAGGGGGGTTTAGGGTAGAGACAGATTTTAACTGTTGTTCTAATTCAGATTTCTGCTCTTCAGGTTTTTTTTTTTTTTTTTTTTTTT